CTCATTGTCAAGAGGGGAAAACTTAAAATTTTACTCAAAATTTTATTTTTCCTCCATTTCCCACTCACCCTTATTTTAAGACTATTTCATCTTAAAAATAAAAATTCAACAAATACATCATAAAGAGGAATTTTATCAAATACCTACGGGACAAAGGGGTAAAGATAAGAGCACAGAGGAAAACAACAGAGACCTTAGTACTAAACAGAAGCGGAGCAAAGAAAACCAGAGTAGATAGAATTGAGATGTAAGAAATTTTCAAGCGGTGCTTTCTACCTGGCAGCGAACGTGTCAAGAGCACAAAAAATGACAAAGGTGCCCTCACGATGAAGCACACATGTTGATCATTACGTGCCTGCTTATCTTCTCTCATATATTAGTAGTAGATCATGATATAATTTAGTTTAAGTACTTCCTTCCATTTAAATTTACGTGAATCCATTTGATTTGACACAAAATTTAAGAAAAGAAAGAATACTTTTAAATTTATAGCGTAAAATGAGTCACATATATTTTTTGTGAATATAAATCATTGTATTTTTAAATAAGAAAATAAATAATTCTTTTTGATAATAACTAAAAAGGAAATAAGTTGGGGAGTATGATTTTTAAACAGCAGCCTTAAAAAAACAACCAAAGGAAAGGGTAAACCATTAAACCCTTAACCCCGTAGTCTTTCCAACAACTTGGGTTCTCCATAAGCAAAAAAAACTACTCCAAGATTTCCAGTTTCAGCAAACCAAATGGAATCACAAAGAGTTGAGGCCGTCCCTCGACACCCAAAAGAGAGCAAACTCCAAAACCCAGCTCATGTTCCATCCATTTCAAGAAAAGATTCAATATTTTCTATGCCTAACCTTCCTGCAGAACTCATCACAGAAATCTTGTTAAAGCTTCCGGTCAAACCCCTCTTGCGATTTAGTTGTGTTTCAAAATCATGGCTTGCACTAATCTCTAGCCCTGAATTTGTGAAAACCCATCTCTTATTATCCGCTAGTAATAAGAACTACACCCACCATGGAGTTATTTTTGAGGTATCTAATGATAACCACAACGTTAAGGACTGTTCTCTTAGCTCTTTACTTTACAATTCTGTTACTGAGGCATTTGACCTGGATTATCCTAGTAAAAATCCCAATCATTTTCCTCGGATTGTGGGTTCTATCAATGGTTTGATTTGTCTTGTCATTAGTTCGTTTGACGGTTTACCTGACTTGTTTCTATGGAATCTATCAGTTAGAAAGTACAGGAAATTGCGTAATTATAGACTCAATGTAAGCCGCCGTTACCATGAGGATGAATGTGTTGATTTTAATTTTGGTTTTGCTTATGATGAGTTCCAAGATGATTACAAGGTAGTGGGTGTTTTCCCTATTTACAGATATGTACATTTGTGTCGTATTGAGGTTAAAATATATAATCTAAAGAGTAATTCTTGGAGAAGTATTGATGATTTTAAAGGTAGGTTGTTGTTGGATGATCATTCGGGTAAGCTTGTGAATGGGAAGCTTTATTGGCTTGACAGGGGATGGAACATCGTTTCTATTGATTTGACTGATGAGAAATGGGCAGAGGTAGAGCAGCCCTGCTCTTTTAAAAAATGTGATTTTTTGAGTCTAGGAGTGTTCAGGAGTGATCTTTCTGCGTTTTGTAATGAAGCATGGACTCATGTAGATGTATGGGTTATGAAGGAGTATGGGGTAAAAGAATCTTGGGAAAAAATATTTACCATCAAGTCTCCTGTTGATTCTACGGGAAATAGATTCCACCCACTGATTTTAATGTCAAATGAAGGTGAAATTTTGCTTCAGTTTGGATCACGTTTCACGAATTACAATTCAAAGGATGACTCGATCAAATATCTAGATGTCACCAACTTTGCTCCATCTCTTGAAGCACAAATCTATGTTAAAAGCCTAGTTTGTCCCTTTTTACCACGAACGCAACAACAACAACGGAGCTGAAATAACTCAGATGAAGACAATCATGTGACTAATATCATGTAAGAGTTACACTCGCATTTTTCTTAAGTGCTACTAAATTCTAGATCCATATTACTTGGGAATCTTGTTAGTCATTTTCCTTTTTTGCACTATTTTCAAGAAATGATGATCTTTTGCAAGAGCAGTTATTTTGTTTATTATAGTTTACCTGGTTTCTTGGGACTTTGTTTCTCTTCTTGAGCAGTGTTTTAAGGAGGATGTTGTGCCTATAGAATCATAGATAGAGTTGCACCCATGTTGTTTTTTCTTTTATAAGGTCCCATAGGGTTATTTTTTTATCCAGAGGATTTCTTACTATTCTTCTTTAGGTGAAAGCTTAATAGGGCAAAAGGAGGAAACCAAGGAATCATTTCTGATTATATACTTTTAATCTTCTTAATGGTATTTTGTAGTTGTAGCATCTCCAGAAGGCCTTCTTCATCCTTCGTCTTTAACTCCAGCAAATGTTTCTACCGAGCTTTGTATGGTTCAACTCTGTAAAGTTCAATAAGGTATAGTATGAAACACTCGTGCATGTAAAATAAATTGATGCTGCAAATACCTATTGCTTTAAAATTATCACTACGTTAGCATGCCTTCAGAAATGAAAGAAGCTAAGATAGAGACAATGATTCACCAAAGCATCAGTCAACATTACTACAAGACAACTAGTTACTACAGGAGCATAGTAGTATCACTAAATACTCCATCATGAATAAGAAAAACCTCACTAAAAAAAACCTAAATGGACAAAATTCAGTTCTCTGCTTCAATACTACTTCAGTATAAATATGCCTTTTCTTTGGGTGCTGCAATGGCTGGAACGATGCCTAGCTAGTTTCTTACCAATGGATGTTGTCGCTCTTGGGCAATTTTAATTGTGACACTTTTACCAGGGCAATCAGGTGAAGGATGCACCTCACTGAATGATCATCTTGGTTAATGAATGGATGAGATTCCGATGTTTGACACATGCTGTGGGCTGGTGTAGCTTGACTTACTCTCTGCTGATGGATCACCTTAAAAAATATCATTTGCAGCTTCGAGTTCTTATCTAGCAAAAGTTCCAATGAGAATGCTGGAGAAGGGGATTGTAATCCAGCTCTTGTACCTTCTGTTGAGTATCAAGAACCTAACAACTTCCTATATAGAACTGTATATAGAGATGTTGGGTAGTAGATATGCTTGTGATGCAATGCTATGTGAGACTGTGACCACTTTACAAGGCATATAAGCTTATTTTCGTCCTTGATTGAAGTCAAAGTATTTAACCATGGTAATTCCCGATTCAGGTATTGTTATTTCTTGTGTAATAACATGCATTGTTATTTATTTTATATAGATAATATAGATAATTCATGAATTATTATTCATGTATAATTAAACAGTGAAACAGACGACTGCTTACGAGTTCCATTTCGATGGACGTCCTTGAGATTGTAAAGAGGCACAGAATTTTTTCTCCATGTGTTTTGGTTCCTTATTATTTCTTTTCCTCGTTTGTTTCATTTGTTTTCTAAACACGTTTAGGCGGAAAGTTAACGCTCAAAATTCAATGGTGCCAGATTCTTGTGTGGTATGCCAGTCTCTATCTGTCACTCCCCATTCATTTTATTATTGTAACATTAGTCTTGATAATTGCCAGTTGCTTTAATATAGAGCATCATTCACATATTGGTAAGGAACACCAAATAGAACGTGGAGTATATAATCTTAAAATACGGGTTCTTAAGCAGAAAGGTAGAACAGTAAATATTGAGAAATTGATAACATTAAAACTTATTATAAACACAGCTCGTTTATAGGTTGCATACAAGCACGGAGTATGACGAGAATACAGATTTCTAGTAGCAATTGCTAGTGCATAATTACTGTCATTGCATTATAACTAATATTCCTGGCTTTGCCAAAAAGTGGTTATATTGGAGCTTAATTTGATCGTTGGCTAGCTAACACAGACCACTTGAACCAAGTGCTAGTTAATAGACTTGACAGGTAAATGAAAACTGACAGAAGTTGGGTGTCTGTCACACAATATATAGATGGATATATAGATTATAGTGAAACGAATTCGTGTAAAATCAGGGGCACTTGGGGCCACCTTCCTTGGTTTTCCAGTTATTGTAGCAAGGGCAGGTTTGTTTGTTGCCATAGGTACCAGGGGGCACACACAGACACTTAGAACAACATTTCTGGCAGAAAAACATGCAGGGTTTCTTGAATGAAGTCTGTGAGCAGCGATACGTGCATTTCGGTAGACAATCTGTACAATCCAACCAAAAAATAAAGTTAAATAACGTAAATTACCAACAAAAAAGAGAACATTAATAATGTAAATTAAAAAAAGAAGGTAGAAAGGAGCCCCGAGAAGGGAAGCCTTGAGGCAACGTATGACCAGGAGGTCACGAGTTCAAACCATGAATTGCATAGTATGTATGAAACATAATCAATGACCGTCACGAGTTCAAACCATGAATTGCATAGTATGTATGGAACATAATCAATTTGGTCATGTCCCTTCCCGGACCTACATATAGGTAGGAAACTTTGTGTGCCGAGCTTTTCTTTTTTTTTTTAGTTTTTCCTTTTTTGTTCTTTTTTTAAAAGAAAAAGTTCCGAGTGAATATTAGACATTTTGATTGAAGTAGGATAGTAGCTGCACATATGTCATGTTGAAGTGTCTATACCTTGAGGATGGAGGCTTCCCTGACTAACACCATACTGCAAATTAAGCAGACATAATAAATAGCAAATTAGCCACGGAAATTAGTTAAAAAGTTTATAAATCATAAGGTCCCAAAACAAAAATGGATCTTACCATTTGGTAATTTCTCTGTGTTTGCAGCTTCGAATCAAGCACTAGTTTGGCCCTCGAAACCTGACCACACAAATTATTTATTATTATACCATAAAATTATTGAAAGAATAAAAATGCATGCATGAACCGCATGGGTTCAGACTTCATTTATATATATTTTCAACTATATGTATATAATTCGAGTTGAAAATAATAAGGTACATTGACAAAGTAATTGCGCTCACCTGATTTTGGGCAAAAAAAACTACCAAAAGAACGAACAAGACAATGCTCAGTTTCCCAGCCATTGCTATAATTTGTCGTAAGTGTCTGAATTAAAGGAGAATAATTTGAAAGAAATAGAGGAAGATAATTGTGAAGAGCTTTGAATGAGTAGACTGCTTATTTATAGAGAGGAACTTCTCTACTAGATTAAGCTCTTTAGCTAGCACTTGCTGTTGTCACACTCGAACAGTAACCCCTCTGCACTTTTCATTTAATTCAAAAGATATTCTCATATTCGAGTTCGAAAAGGTTCTCTTTTTCTTTCATTTTAAAATAAATCAAGACTATTGACACATAATCTGAAAATATATATGTTAGGTACCAAAATTGCCCTTATTATTATCAACAATTAAAAGAGGTGGTAAGAGCTCCCATATGTCCTTTTCATATTTTTCTTTCCTCATAAAAGGAAAGCTTTTATATGAAGTGGTCGTCCTCACAAGGCATGCCATTAAAGAGTAAATAGTTTCCAGAAAATAGAAATGTACGCGACATGAAAAAGTGAAGTATCGGAGTAATATGAGTAAAACATTTCAACTTAATTATTCTTAAGGTCATTATCGTCTTTTCAACCTTGGAATGCACATGAGCTGTTCTTTCATTTTTTGGGGATAAATAAAAAGAAAAGTTGAAAGCTAAGAAGTTTCTCCAAATAGTCATGCAAATAAGATGGAAAGGAAAAGAAAGGAACAAAAAGATAGAAAACACAATACTTCTACATGGCCAATTCCTTTACCCTTCCCCACTTAGTATCAATCTTTTGTCAATGATAAGGTTCGAACATGTGATGTGCGCCTAACTCGTACATCATGCGCTCTTACCACTAGACTAAAGCTTTATGGAAAATCAATAGACCATTTTAACGTTAATTTTAAATAATCGTTGAAATTCGGTGAATTCATCTTCAATAGACTTCCTCTTTATAACTGAGAAATTCCAAAGCAGCATCGCTGCACGGTTCAAAATTCGGTGAATAATTAGCTCATTCTTCTATCTTTCTTTACTTAATATCGGGTTTCTGTCAGTGACAAAGTTCAAATTCGTGATCTACGCCTAACCCATACGTTACATATTGCGCTCTTACCACTAGACTAAAGCTCTATGGACAATCAATAGTCCATTTTTACGTCAATTTCAAACAACCGCCATTTTTCTCCTCTCAAGTATCTATAGAGTTTGTACCCATTGTCATAAAAGAGTCCGTGCAGGCAGCACTAAATAATTTAGGGGAAACAAACAAGCTGGGATGAGGAAATTTTCCAAAATCTCACATCAGCATGTGCAAATGAAAACAATGAAAATGACAGGGTTCCCTTCTGCATGTGCTTTCACATGCCCTTTTTAGAGGTACACAATGCCAGCTTTCAATTGCCCACCAGACACTACTGTTAGTAACTAACACCAACAACGTAACAATGAACAGCAAATCCCAAAATATAAATGGACTTCCAACTATAAAAGATCTTCTATATCCAACTAACTAATAAAGTGCCTGAGTCACAGGATATATCTACAATTGTTTTGAGTGGCTACTATTCTTCCCACTTTATGCTTACTTTTCTTTTTTTGAAGTATTATACTCCAACCATCAAGACAAAAGAGAAGAAGAGTAAGCTACACTTTGATATTATAAGCTTACTATGGAAAAAAATAAAAATAGTCAGATTTATAATTGGTATTTGAAAAATAGTCACAGTTTCAAAAGTAATTGATTTAGCCATTTTTTCATGTAAAGATAAAATTTGAAGAAAAACATCCTTAAAAATTCGAAAGTATTCTAGCATAATGTCGGAGTTCGAATTTTTTACATATGAGATTCCAGCATAATGTACTAGAGTTCCAGCATAATATCCTGGAAGTTTATACGCAGGAGCTCTATAATCTTGCATATTATGCTGGAACTTTCAGTGTTTCAGCAAAATATTGGCTATTTTTCAATGACTTTATAAACGCTGGCTATTTTGCAATACCAGTCCGAAAACTGGCTAGCCTGTGTTATTTTCAAGTTTACTCTTCTTCTCTTTTGTCTTGACGGTTGGACTATAACACTTCATAGGCACATCCACGTGATGGATAAACATTTAAGGTTTTTAGTACGGAATTCACAATTCCTTTGATATTACTATGTGTTTATAATATTTACACACTAAAAATTTATGATTTTTCACAATCACATTATATTTACGTTTCAATGTCGAAAATATTGAGCTTGGTTGAACTTTGTGGCTCAAAAGCTACTTCCGCCACTGTTTAATGGGGCCTTATTAGCAGTCTCTACTTTCCCCTACAATTTGCTCAGCCCGTGATACATTTCTTACACGATCCAAGTTCAATAATGCAGCCCAAGTTTTGCATTTATCTCTTTAAATTGTGGTTGAGGGTGGGTCCTGGAAGAGAGTTGGGTGTATTCATAGAACAATAGAAGAAGTTCGAGCTTTACAAGCTTGTGCAAGTACCATGCATGTATATTATACATCCTTGGCCTACTCGATGTGAATCCTAATTAACTGAGTAGCAAAGCTGGATCTAAGATTTCTAGTATATGGGCGCACCACTAAAGAAAGGAGAAAAAAAAGTATTAAGTGAGAATTGATCCTTATTCCTTTGAATAAATAACACAGTATTTACCAGTACACCATTCAATTTTTGCGGAACAAAGATGTAAGCAGATAATATTAAACCAATTCTAAAATATATATATATAAAATACGTAGTTCGGCAGAGAGACCATGGGTTCGCGTGCCCTGACTAGCAAATTTTAGATATTGGATGATTAAAATTAAATTAAAAAAGCATATGCACATATCACCATTTGCTTGCAATTACAAGCAAGTCACTTCACGGTTCACATTTAGGTACTTTTTTTTTGTTGCCTAAATTGAGTCAAAATCAAAACGTCCAAGAACCAGAAAAGTATACGCGAGAAAAAAGAAAATGATAAAACTTTCAAGTACATGGACGAATTACTCTTCTCTGTCTGAGATTACTATTTTGAAGCACCGCAAATTTTGTTCAAGAAAATACATAAAGAAAAGGAGTCTCCGATTGTCTATGAACTCGCATCGAATCATATAAATGTGAGATAATATTATTCCCAAATAACAATACTACCCCCTCTACCCCCAATGGAGAATAATTAAACATTTCTGGAAGAATAAAAGAGAGAAAGCATATCCAAAACACGATATTAACAAATTTTGTTAGCATCTATACAAAGGATTCACCACCAGAACATATCGCGACAATATTTTCTCAACTACTATACATCTTTTTAATCTCAAACACATGCCTCAAAGCTTGCAAATTTCGCTCCATCGAAATCGAAACTTGCTCTCTCATAATGGTGGTAAAACACAAACTTTTTCTATTTACAATTTGAAAA